TTTGCAAAATGTCTTCAACAACGGTAACTTGTTGACAAAAAAAAAAAAAAAAACATGTTCATGCTCGTCATTGTTGGAACATGGACATACTTAATTCCACAGGGAAAGAATAACAAGCAGCAGCTCATGCCTCTGAAAACTTCTTTCAGGTTTCTAGGTATGCATAATGAACTGATCCTACAAAGGATCAAAGTATGTGGACAGATCACAATGATGCCTCTACTGCGGTAATCAACCTTCTGCACCTCTGGTTCATTTTCAGTAGGATATTGTGATCATTTTAGCTCATTTCCTGCAGAGATTGGGGAGAAAATGGATTAATTTGTTATAATTCACCCTAATTACTTGTTGACATGCTTCTCGGCCCAAATCAGTTCTAACTGACATGGGGCACAAGCATCGATACAAAAAACCAGGTGCTACTTGTCTTTCAAATATTAAAACATTTTTCATTTTGGGCTCAATGACATAGCGTACATGGGAAACGGTGCCTATTGTTTCTTTTAAAACGAGCAGTCTTAAGAAAGATTTAGATAAAGCAAATGTTTGGGGTTGTACTTAATTGGATGGCTTGGACATTTAAATCTGCACCCAAAACAAAGCCTCCTTTCAGCATGTCGTGCTTAAAAACACAGTAAATCAGCTTGTTATTTACATATGACGTAGATTATTATCAGAAGATTTTATTTTTTTTCATTCTCAAAATTTCATATTTGCCAAGACTTGAATTTTGTCAGATTTAATAACATTCTAAAACATTTAAGTATAAAACATTTAAGTATACTTATGTATGATGCAGAACTCATGGCATAGAAGGAACGAAGCACCAAAGTGCAAATATGAACATATTAGGATAGATCTGTAGGCAATATAAAGCATGTTCAATTACAATGTTTTTGCATAAAATAATTTTTGCATAATGAGATTTCACTTTGATCAGTTCTGTCTATTTTGAGCTCCTTTCCAAACTGGTCTGTTTAAGGACCTCTTGTCACTTTAAATCCAAATAAGCTGCTGCTTCCCACGACCCCTAATACAATGTTTACACTTGCACTTCATAAACTTGAAAATGGCTGCACTCAGCTGTACATCTTTGACCCTAAGATCCAAAACCAAAGGAAGTTGAGTATCCTGTATACCTATCAAGAATGCAGCAAGTGTTTTCTGGATGGTAAGTCAACAACAAAATATTTGTCTTGTCCAGCAGCCATTGTACTCTATGTAATCGGCTGTGCTTGGCTTGAAGTTGCTAGGTAAAAGGGGAGGTGACAGCTGATTGTGACTTATTGGGAGGTTTTTTGAAAAGGCTCATTTTCCAGGCCCCAAAAAACATTCTACTTATTTGCCAGAAAACAGCTGTTTTCATTGTTTTGTTTTGTGTTTTTTAAGTGTTTGGGCTGTTTCTACAAGTAAAGACCCTATTCAAAGTACAAAAATGTGCTGAAGAGCTTAAAAGCTGTAGGAATGGTGGAAGTGACAAAGAAATGAACTTAGCTAATCAGATCATAGCAGCGGACAGATGGAAATGAAGGGATAGGATACAATAGATAAGGGGAGCAACTGGTAGGCTGTGTGAAGGCTGAAAGATAAACAAAGCAGAACTTGAGCAAAAAACTGAAACTGACATAAATAGCAAACAAAAAGAAACACTAATGTAAGGGAACAAATTCAAAGCACAAATAATGAGAACTAACACAATGCATAAGCAATAATGAAATGATCAAAACAGAAACATGAATGAAAACTAAAGTACTAACACCTCAGAATCATAACAACAGCACCACGCTAATGTTGACTTATCGCTCAGTGGTGTGTACAAGGACTACTCCACTAATTATTTCTGATGAGTACAAACTGAGATCGGTTTTATTTCAGTTTTCTATTTTTCAGAGACTCAGGCGTGTATCCTTGGAATATTAAAAATCGAAATAAAAACTGAAATATATTTTAAAACTCAAGTTTCCTGTTCCAATATAAATAGAGATTCAGAAAATATGCTTCTGAATCTCTGAATCTTCTGAATCAAATCAAATTCCATAATTTTCTGGATTACATCGGAAACTGCATTTTAGTTGCAAGAAGGTTGCATTTTAGGATTTTTTTTCAAATCAGTCTGTTTGCTTTGGATTTTTACAGCTTTTATACATTTTTGCATGTATACATGCACAAAACTGTTTGGCTCCCCTTCTCTAAATTACGGCACATTTAAAATGTGTTCAGTCAGGCTGTGCAGTGGGTTTGGCCCTGGGGTGTTCATCAGCAGAGAACACACACTTATTCTTTAGAATCTGATGTCTAACGTTTGATGCATGGTGAGTGAATGGTTCACAAGAATAACCCCGAGGCACTACTTCTTTAAAGAAAGTGCCATCTACAAGTACACTGACCTGTTTGGTGGAAACCATTATGTCAAACAACAAACTTATTTATCCTTGGTCCAACAGAAAATTAAGAATTTAGCTATTTAAGCATATCTCCATTTGATTGGACAAAAACTCTAAAAAATTGCATCAAAGTACCTGATATCGATTGATCCACTGGCCCACTGAAAACACTCAGCTCTTACACCTTGATAAATAGATTTTTTTTGTTTTAAGCAAAATTGATCGATTTGCTCTGCAGCTCACTGGTGAATCTCTAGCAATAATAGGACACGTTACTGGCTTGCTGATAGTCCACAAATATTTTTGTCCATCATCTTTCTGGGATCTTGTTTTTATTTTCTGTCTTAATCATTATTGTTCAGAATGTAATCTAGCGGCAAAAACATGTTTTGCCCAACTTCTGCTGCTGAGGGCTGCTGTAGCTTTTCTACAAACACATTAGTCCAGACACACAGCTTATCAGAGGCTTAACAGGCTTCCAGATAGATACTATGTGGTTGATGTTGTCATGAGGCTGCTGCAGAGGCAGCAGAAAAATGTGAAAGCAACATGTGTGAAAAGAAAAAAACAAAGAAACTTTCTTTAACTTTGACTCTGACTGCTTCCTCAATCCATGTCTGACAGACAGTCTTGGAGAACTAAACCAACTTTTGTTCTAAGTCCTCATTGAAGACTATAAATCTACATAATGGGCTTGGTTTAGGAACATAACTTAAGATTATTTACTCACATTTTAGGATAGCCCCTATTCCTTTTCTCACACTTGCACTAATTTAGTACCTTCAAACCAAAGCTGCATTATATTCATCCACATCTCCCAGACAAAACCCCCCAAAGAAGCCCAATCACTGCCAAACAGAAACCAATCTTCAATAAAATCATAGCTGGCATGTCAATGTTTCCCACAGTGCTTGCCAAGTTCTTGATATATGTTAGCCTATGTAAACTACTCACTTATAAAATTTGCATTGTGAAAACTTATCTTCAATAAACCCCGTCTTTTATTGTTACAATGAAACATCCCAAAAAAATATACTATAGTCTGAATGTGTTTATGCATTGAAAGCATTTAGAATGTAAGACATATCTAAATAATCAAATTATTTCACATGGGAGAAATAGAGTAAAAAGTTTTTCAAAGATCTAGTTATTTTAGGATGACTATTTCAAATTCCATAACCACTCTTTTGGAATCCTTGCGAATTTTATTATTCACTTGTGCCATTACTCTCCCAGATTCCTAATAAAAATACTAAAATTTGCGTGTAGCTCTCTGCTCTGCATTCTTTCTGGCTTACACAGAAATATCGCTGTTTTGTGAACACTACATAGAAGTAAGTCATTCGTCAAGGTTATGGAAGTTCCTAATAATCTCCATGATGGTTTTTTTTTCTTCCTCCATTGCATTTTAGTCATTTATGAGGATTGTGGCTAAATGGGAAGGGTAATCATCTTGCAGTGGGCAAGTTGCAGGTTTAATTGGCTAGAAATTTAAATAGCTAGAAAAGTGCTATGCAAGTCAATTTACTAGTACACACTAAGTACACAGTAGTATTATTGTATTTTTAGAAAGTGGCTTAAGCATATGAGTCACCTTTCAACCAGTCAAGTAGTAAAAATAAATAAATAAATAAAAAAAACATCATGAGAACTACCTGAGATAACTGTATGGCGACATTCCTGTGTAATTTTTTGGCTTGATTTTACTGTGACCTTTAAAGCTTCATTCCATTCTCAGGTCTTTACACTTTCATGTCTAACTTCTGAACTTGTAGCGCTCGCTAAATAATGAACTGTCTTTTGCCTAAGACTAGAGATTAGGTTCTCACTAAGAGAGACTATTCTGTACAAAATGCCGTCATCTAACACAAATAAGTTCCTGTGTTCAGCATAACCCTTGAATATATATATATATATATATATATATATTTTAATTTACACTCTAACCGCAAAATTTAAAATATGTCGTTGGGATTTTGGGTAAAATACCAACACAGAATAATCTAAAACTTTGTTAGGTTTTTTGTTCCCCCACCCCCCCCACAAAAAACCTAAAATGTGTGTTAGTTGTACACGCCCCCTTTACTCTTGTACTTCTAAATAAAATCCACTGTTATTAAATTCTGTTTAGTCTCTGTGTAAATCCAGGCAGACAGGTCAAAAGGGAGAACGTCGTGGAAAAGTTTAAGTAGGGTAAGGTTATAAAACAACTGACCAAGATTTGACCATTTCACAAAACTCTGTTTAATACATTGTCTATAAATATAAAGGGCATCGCACAACTAAAACCTACCGGGGATTGGCTCTACAGTGTGTTCCGTCACATGAAATCCCAAAAGCATTCATTGACATTGATACTTCTAATGTGAGACAATGTGAAAGTTCAAAGGGTGTTAATACTTTCGCTAAGTGTTGTATATGACCAGTGCTTTCACAAGAGTCTGTCGCACCAAAAAAAAAAAAAATCTCCCATAAAACAATATTTAACCACATGCAATTCATCACTGGCAACACTTACGCATTAATTGTTTTAGGGTTATTGTTTTCTTTTGTGTCTTAGAATCAGGCAACTTCCTCTTTACAAGAAAAAAGAATAAGTCACTAAGCAGAACTTACCCTGAACAGCCTCAACAAGAACTCAAACTATCCATGAGGGTGCGATTTCTTCGTCCTCGAAGTTCTTCTGAATCACAACGTGGAGCAAAATCGACGCTTAAGACAAGTCGATGTGAACACAGTGGAAGCCGCAGTGGGAGAGAGAGAGAGAGAGAGAGAGAGAGAGAGAGAGAGAGAGAGAGCAGGTCTCCTATTTGTCTTTCTCTCCCGGACCTACCTGTCTGCTGCACTTCGCGCTTTGTTAGTGCACCATAACGTGAAGCAGCGCGCGCGCTTTCTAAGAGTTACGACACCGCGGTTCAGCAAGCACGCGGAGAGCCTCTCAACTTAAACATGATCCTAGGACAGACGCCAAATACTTTTAGAGCTGTTCCTTTGTTTGACTGGTCTCAAGCAAAGGAGCAAGAACAAGACACATTACAACAAATGTGTTCCCCCCGAACATTCATCGAACAGCTTGAGTAACCAGGAACGTACTGAGGGGGTGGTGATTGGTGCCGGAGCCCCTTCCATTTTCCCTTTGACAATGGACAGATTTGTTTTTAGGAACTGTAGCAGAGATCTAATAATTTAAAGCTACAAAATAATAATAATTATTATTATTATAACTAAAAACAAACAAACGATGAAAAGTTTTGGTCTCAGGGTCGCCCAGTCTTAAATATGTATGTATGTAGTTTATAGTATCTTGACCTGTAATTCATACTATTATAATACTTGATAAATGCAGCTATAACAACAGATGGTGGAAAATGAGGTGGAAACAAAATTAGCTTCACAAGACTGCAACAGGCAAAGACCAGAGCACAGCCCAGATTATTTCAGATAATGCATTCAGACATCCAGGATGTTACTAAACTGAGTTTGGTTTTTCTTATCTTGCCTGATCCCATCTGCTACTTCTCCCTGGTCAGTTGATATTCCAGACTGCACAGAGGAAATAGCCCAGAAACACATTAACATTACTTTCATTTAATGCAGCATGCACAGGAGCAGAAGAAGTAACAATATGCAGATAGTAAAAAAAAAAATGAATTCCCTGCATCTCTTTAACATCATGTTTAACATGTTGCATGATTTTATTAAAGAAGGGATTCAGCACATATAGCAACATTACAGTAAGGAACCTTATGAGAATATTTGTAATGGACCACATTCATGATACTAAGTTATGGTACTAGGTCAAAGGTCACATGTGGCTCTTCAGGCTATCCAAAGTGGCTCCGAATAACTCTGGACGAAGATGCTAATAATGCATTCAATGTATTTTCATACAATATATGACAGTAATTTTCTCTTTGTAAAAGGTCACTATTTTTTCTTTGTTCTGAAATCCAATTATAGAAATAAAAAAACTGGCTCTATAATATGAATTGAATGGACTTTAAAGAGGTGATGTGAATTTTACATCTGTAGACGAACTGTATTTGGTGAAGACATGGCAAAATGTGTGTGGGATTTGTAAAGAGAGTTAACCCTTTAAAGGTTATGTTCAAATACTGCAAGGCTGCAGAGTGATTTATGGAAAGCTGACTTCTTTGTGCTTCATGTTGTTGTTTTTGTACTTCAAACACTTCTAATTGGTAATAAAATCTGTTTTTATTGTAGTTTTTTTGTAATCTTCTGTTTTTTTTTACTTCAGTTTTCTTTCATAATTTCATAACATTTCAGTTGTCTTTCTTTTCTATCTTTCTTGTTAAACATTGGTCCTTTTTTTTTGTAGCCCATAATTACTCCAACATTTTGACTAGGATTTTCTGGAAGAAAACATAACTTATCAGTGAGTCTTTTTAAGTTAAGCTAAAGGCAATCTGAGGTAAACTTGTGCTGGGTCACCAAGTCATCAGCCATGTCCAGGATAAATGTAAAGTTGGTTGGTTTTACTTCATCTTGTGACGTTAAAGGAACTGTCAGCAGTTGTGGAAAAACACAGTTCTCATTTATCATATTATTGCTTCATCTTATTTGTTTTGGCTGTCAAACTGCTTAGTTTAATCATTTCCAATGCGTGTCTGTCAAGGTTTTATGTCTGTCCGTGTTCAGCCTCTATAAAGAACCTTGTGTCACACTTGGCTGTGTGAAAAATGGTCAGTAAGTGAAGCTTGATTGACACCAGAGTACTGTTTGTTAAAAAAAAAATACCAGCAAAGTTTTTCCGAATTAGTACATGCTTTAGAAAAAAGTAAAGTTAGTGTTCATCTGCTGCATTGTGCTGGGAGTTAATTAACTCTGGCCTCACTCACTGATTGTATTCAGTGGCTTGATTGCACCTTAAAATATATTGAAAACAAGATCCTTCCATCTGTTCTTAGATTCCTGAAATACAGGTGAAGCATCTTGGAGTCATAATTGTGATGATTATTGAATGTTTGGGGAGTGAAAAAGTAAAAACTAAAAGTCATCAGCTTCTTACCCAGCTCTTTAATTGTTACTTAATGACAATTGAGTAACTCAGTGTTCTTAGTGCTTTTGTCCACAGTGCTCCAGCAACCAAGTCATAACCAAGTCTACTGCTTTTTTTTTTTAAATTAATGTTTGTCCTTCAGAGCACAATCACTCATTATTGCCAAACTTGTCAGCAGCTAAAGCTGGAGTCGCCACTTTTAGATTTAATTTCTGACTCGGTAAGTGTGAAATTGATTTCACACGCAAGAGGAGTGGGCTTCGACTTTCCACAGCAGTATGATTATGAAGACAGACGATTTCCTCCCTTTGTCCGTCACTCTTTAAATGTCAGTGTATCGAGCTGCTGTAAAGCTGTTTATTGGTCTCTATTGACTCTGTAGATTAAATTACAGCTCCCTAACTTACAGTGTGTGTGTGTGTGTGTGTGTGTGTGTGTGTGTGTGTGTGTGCAGAGAGAGCTTAGGAAGCCAGTAGAGTGGATGATTCCCATTATCCCAAGAGGCTGCCTGCAGTTACGTATCATTAATCAGAGTGCGCTTGTTAGTGTGAGAGCCCAGGATATAAAAGATGGGGTTGTTTTGGTGATTAACATTCCACTAAACTATTTTCTTAGCAGGAATTTTCTGCAGCTATAGAGTAAAAGTAACCACTGTGTAGGGTGAGACTGCTTTACAACGATGGAGCATCTTCAGTTGGAGGTTCCTTCAGACCCATGTTGCTACAGACCTCTACAGGATATTTACAGTGACACCCATGTAGTCATAACATTGATAGTGTCGTGTCCAACTTATTCAATTCTTTTTAGGAAAGCTCTTTTAAGAAAAAGGCCTTTGCTGGACCAAGGTTTTTATCTTGTATATTTCTGATTACAAACGGGAATCTTCAAGAGACAGACGTTTTAGAACATTGTTATGAGGCAATGATCTTAAACTGCCTGGATGCCCTTTTTACACATGTCGATATGTTCTATAAATATGAAATTATTTTTAGCATTTCCAAATGACTAGCTCCAACTTTAAAAAGTGAGTGATGCGTTACACTTTGGAACACAGCCTTTACTCAATACAATGACCACGTATTAAAGACCACAGTCACATGAGAGGCTGCTTCAGTCAGGGACGAAGTATTTTTCAACAAGGACACCTTGTTTTCGTTCCATTCATATATATATATATATATATATATATATATATATATATATATATATATATATATATACACACAAAGAAAGAATGGAAAAAAAACAAGGTGT